CATACAGTAATGTAGCAGAGAGTAAGCATAAAGTACTCAACCCATTTTCGGCCTTCGCACTCTGGCACTCCCGGTAGGGCAGGGCCTGGGTTCCTGGAGGTCCTGCTCCCACAGCCAGCAGGCAGAAACTGGGAAGCCAATCTTGTAGGCAGAGCACATCCGGCCCTTTGAAGTTGACTTCAGTGGAGGTTCTATTTGAAGAGACTATGACAGGATATAGTCCACAGTGGGATGCGCGTTGCTTCCGGAAGCCTCCCTTAGCCAGGGAGTGTTTTGTTATGGTGTGGAATCTGTCTGCTCAGAATTCATCCACACGAGGCCCCTTTTGGTGCAGGTATGCGTGTGGGGCTGAGGTGGTTCTGAGGCCTTCTGTGATTTCCCTTCTTTCTTAAACCTCTATGTGCGCCAGCTTCTCTGTCTCTCTGACTTTCCCAGCCACCCCCGCCCCCTCATAGATGAGGTCATTAGGATTTGGAGCCAGGAGAAGTGCATTTCTGTAACTTTAAATCTCCATGTTCAGTTTGGAACACACACTCTTTCAGGAGGCAGTTATACTTAACTGTTGGAGGACAGTTTGCTTAATTGGGCTCTTTAGACTACAAAAATGAGCTGGCTGGAGGAATTCTGCCAATTTGTGAGTAGGCTCAGTGCTCCTCATTCTCACTTACTTCACATTTACTGTTGCCTTCACGTCCATGATGGGATGTGAACCACAGTCTGGCTTTCATAAGCTTCTTAGGGCTTGATTGGATTTTTCTGTGCTTTCTACTGTGAATACCCAACTTGCTGGTTTTGCTTGAGGAAGGGGTATGATGGGAGGAGAGAGGCCAGGGTGGGTTTCTTCCTAATGATAAGATGAGGGTGGGCCTTTGAAGAGGAGGTTGTCTATTATAAGCTGTGTTGTTATAGAACCCCTGTGGAGAGAAGGAAGCTTTGGTATAGAATCCTGGCAGAGAGAAGGATCATGCAGAGTGGTAGGGAGGGGCCAGGAAGAGTGAGGAGAATATGCAAATCTGGGGAGACATTAATTGATGGGATGGCCTCACTTGCTGGGGATACTGAAGGAGGGACTGCAAGACCTAAGGGGATTTGAGTTTCATCTGTTGCTACCATAGTTGCTTTTGTCTGGGTTGGGCCTCCTCAGCCCCAACCAACGCAAACCACATCTGATCAGTGAGGTGAGCCCAAGAGGGAGAGGTAGCCTCCCTCAGGTCTTGCTCATGCCTTAGGCTGTGAGGGTGAAATGTCTGGAAAAGAATCATACCTCCTGGGAGCTAGTTTCAGTCCTATGTACATCTTGTTGAAAACTCCACTCAGTGGTCTAATGAGGATTGTCAAGTTCATGACATCATTGTGCAGTTCCCTTCAGGTCCTTCTCTGGGGTTGTAAGAGACCAAATAGAGGGAAGAGGAAGTTTTTGAAGAGGAATCTAGCAAACTAGTAAAGTGAGGTATGCTTATATCTTAATACCAGGGTCTCCTTCACCTTAACTACTTTAAACTCTATGACACAGACAGTAAGTTACTATGGGACGCTGAAGCCGCAGCAAAAGCTGGCTCTTTCAGGAAGCTTCAGGTGACTCTCACCAGATAGCACTGAGCTGTCTTAGCATATCTGTGACCCGTTTGTACCATTGCTAAAAAAAAAGAAAGAAAAGAAAACCAACCAATCCCCCCCCCCCCAGATATGTGATTAGGAAACCTATGCAAGAATGTTTGTAGAGGCATTATTTACAAAAACAAGAACAACAAAAAAATGGAATTTAACCTAAATATCCATCAACAAATAAAGTGTGATAAAGTCACATAGCAAAATCCTGTACAATGGTGAAAAGGAAATAGCTAGAAGTAAAGGATTAAGAGGGAGAATTTTCTCAATGCTGAGCAAGATAGCAAGTTATACATTACTGCTAGTGATATTCACATGAATGTTAATTGAAATGTATGAGAATAATAGATAGCAAGTTCTCCAAAGTATTTACCCCTAGGGAAGGTTCAAAAATAATTGGGGAGAACCAATAGTGTTGTTATTGTTAATATTTTCTTAAGGCCCCAGATAGGCAGTATTGATTATACGTTAGAAAATTGGCTTTTCCTATCTGTACATTTTATCCTATGGAGTCAACCAATTTTGTTTAAAAGTATTGAGAAAAAAATGACCTCTTCACTGAACATGTGTGGGTCTCCTGGCATTAGACCCTGAGAAGCACATGCCAGCAGTTACTCACATGGCACTGACATTGTATTAAACATTATAGATCTGAACATGATATAGCACATAGAAGGGTGCGCACCTGTTATATGAAAACATGATATCATCTTATGAAGGGTACTCAGCCTTGATGGAACTTGGCTTCTGCAGCAGATCCTGGAACCAATGCCCTGGGAACACCTTTGTTACATGCTAGATGCCCTGTAAGAAATTTTAGCAGTTAAGGCCGGGGCACATGTGGCTCAGTTGCTAGAGTGCTTGCTTAGCATTCATGAAGTTCTGTCTCCAGGACTACATAAAATACTGCTTGCCTGTAATCCCCATGCTGGGGAGCAGAGACGGGGGATTGGAAGCGCAAGGGCATCCTACAGTATATTACGTTTGAAGTCAGCCTGGGTTACATTTTAGAGTTGAGCGCTCATGTAAGGGCAGAGGGGAGCTATATACTGCTTTAGACAGGGAATAATCCCTTTGGATCAGAATTTAGAAGGGACCCTTTCAGTGTGGAGACTGGGTTTGGGGAGAGAGGGTGCCTTCGGAGAGCAGTTAGGAAAGGGTTACTGCCTCCCACACCAGCCACAGAACAGCCTGCAGGAACACTTCAGAACTGTGTTTTTTTAAGCTATCAGTCTTTAAAAAAAAAAAAAAAATGGGGTGGAGGGGGCACTGGTGAGAGAGCCCAGGCGATAGAGTTGCTTGCTACCAAACTGGGTGACTTGAATTCAGTCCCAGAAGCCACATGGTAGATGGAGAGAACGGACTCCTCCGAGTTGTTCTCTTACCACCACAGGTGTTTGAGTGAGCATGCTCAACACAATAAATACATTAATAAAATATTTTTAAAAATTCTTCCATATTTTTATAGTATGTCTGTGGCTGCAGTTTTTTTCATTTGAACCTCTGAGCTTAGTGTGATATTTGATTATTATTTTTGAGGTACTGTGGAATACACCCAGGATTTGCTTGTTAGGTAAGCCTCTACCACTGGGCTACCCAGCCCTAGCCCCAGCAGTCAGCGTTGTAAAAGCAGCTCCCCGTTAACCCTTGTGTGCAGCCAGGGTGGACGACTAACAACTTAGGTTGAGTCTCAGCTTCATTTAATAATGAATTTTATATCTATGATTTCTTTTAAGTTTGAGACGTATTGATTCAAGCCAGCCTTTTTCCTGGTACTCAGGAAGCAAAGGCAGGCAGGTCTCTGAGTTCGAGGCCAGCCTGGTCTACAGAGTGAGTTCCAGTACAGCCAGGGAGACACAGAGAAACCTTTTCTTGCTCCCCTCACCCCCAAAGTCTTGATTTAGAGAGTATTTAGGTAGACATTGCAATGTGCTCAGGTCTGGTTCCTTCTAGATCCTTCCAAGAGATATCTTCTGTGTCTCTTAAATTTCTTCCTTGTAAATCTTCAATTTTATTTTTGCTCTCTTCTGTCTATCTTCCAAACTCTTAAAATAATATGTATCATGTCCTGCGCTGCTGCTTATTTCCCAACCACCCCCTTCCTTATTTCTCTCCCTTTTATGTATTTAGACAGGGTCTGACTGTAGAGCTCAAACTGACCTTAGGACTCACTATGTAGCTTAAGCTGTCTTTGAGCTTCTGCTTCAGTCTCCTTCTGTTTAAAATATGTATTTCTTTATTGTGTGCTTGTGTGGGTTGGGGGCATAACAGCCATGCTCTCTCTCTGTGTGTGTGTACATCAGAGGACAACTTTCAGGGGTTGGCTCTCTCCTGCACCACGTGGGGTTCTGGGAATTAAACTCAAGTCATCAGGCTTGGTAGCAAGCACCTTTACATGCTAAGCCATTTTCCTGGCACTCCCTCTCTTTTGCTTCTTAAATTTTTTTTTACCTTTACTTAGTGTGTGTGTTGTATGTATAGGAGCACATGTATGATACACCCCATCCCATACCAGTAGTGCATGAAGAGCTAAGTAAACAAAATGATCTTTAAATGGATGACCAGTGAATACAAGAGTAACTTTCCTTGGAAATGGGGATAGAGTATGATAAAAAAAAAAAAAAGTAAAAGAGAATAAAAAGTACAATCTTTCCAATTCTATTAGTTCAACTTTTGTGCTTATGAAGTAATGAAGACAATTCAAGAGGATGTGTTTAAGTTGGTAGAATGCTTGCCTATCATGGATGCAACTCTAGGTCCAATTTCTAGCATGTCATAAATTGGGTATGGTAGTATATGACTGTAATCCTAGGAAGGTGGTGGCAGGAAGATGGTGAGTCCAAAGTCATTTCTGCATCATGGCAAGCACAAGCCCAGCCTGGGCCACATGAGATTGTACCTCTAAATTAAATAGAATAAATGGGTTCAGTGGGTAAAGTGCTGGCTATTCAAGTGTAAATACCTGAGTTAAATCCCCAGAACCTATGTAAAGCTGGGCACAGTAGTGGACATCTGCAGTCCCAGTGTTTTTACAGTGAGATGGAAGCTGGATGACACTTGTAGGCCAATTAGCTGGGAGCACACCGTTGTGAAACAATAAGACAACCCTCCCTGACTCTCAAAGTTGGATCAGGAAGAGGGATACCCAAGGTCGTTCCCTGACCTCCACCCATGAAAGTACAATTACACATATACATAGACACATCACACAAACACACTGTACACATACACACGAAGAAATAAAGAATAATTATTTGGTATACTTAATAGAATAACATTTAGAATAAGTAATATTTCCACAATAATTCATATCGCATTTATAGCGGAAAGTGTATATATGTGTGAGTTATAGGTTCTTGCAGATTGATCTGAGTTCTTCCGTTATTTTCTAGGGACATTTTGAAGACCATAGCTCTGGGACAGATGCTGTCCTTGTGTATATGTGGCACAGCCATCACCAGCCAGTATTTGGCAGAAAAGTACAGAGTGAATACGCCCATGCTTCAGAGCTTCATCAACTACTGCCTGCTGTTCCTGGTTTACACAGTGATGCTGGCATTTCAGTCTGGTACGTCACATGCAGGAACCATCTGTTCCATAAATGTTTGTGCTCTTCCTTTTTAAGACGTTTTTGCATGTGTATGTGTGGTGCATGTATGTATACATGTTTGCATGTGATGTGTGTGTGTGTGTGTATGTAACCTAACCTGACTAGGAGGTGCTATACTTCTATTTCCATCATTTAAAATCACTAGTATGTTGTTTGTTACTCCCTAAGGGAATCAGTGTTGCTTCTCTGTGTCAAGATTAATAACTTGTTTGTTTGTTTGTTTTGTGGTGCTAGGTATTGGACCTTTGATGTTGTCCCCAATCCTTTCTTTGCATATTTTAAGATTTATTTATTATATGTGTTTAAGTATCCATGTGAGTCTATGTATGCATGTGTCTTGGGGTATGCACAGAGGACAGAAGGAGGCATTGGGTGTCTTCTTCCAATACTCTACTGTTTCTTTGAGGCAGGATCTCTCCCTGAACTTAGAGCTATGTTATTTTCAGCTAGATTAGAAGTCAGCAAGCCTCAGAGCCTCCTGATTCCACTTATGTTGGGTTATGGGCATGTGTACCGGGTGCCAGCTTCTTCCATGGGTTCTGAGGACTGAACTCTGATAATCATGAATGTATAGCAAATGCTCTTACTGAGCCACCTCTCTAGTCCTTTGTAAATCTTAATTTTGAGTTAAGATCTTGCCAAGTTGTTCTTTTTAAATTTAGTCTTCTTGCCTCAGCTTCCTGAGTAGCTGGGATCACAGCCACCAAACCTGCTTATTAACATTATTACTATCAATTATTGTCACTGTCGGAAATAGAAGCCAGTTGTGAGATCAGAGAAACATATTAAGGTCTCACAGTTGGCAAGATCTCTAGGGCAAGGTGGGGGTGGGCAGAACTAGCAAATAAGTGGTAGCTCTGGGCTCTGCTTTCCTTTGGAGGCCCTTGTCTTCAGGAAGCCAGTGTCATTCACAAATACATCAGTGTGGTTCCCTTGAAGCTATGCCTATCATGTGCTTTTCTGTCACGTGATGAGAATGCTTGCTCTAAATTTTCAGAGTGCTCTTGGTAACTGTATTTTAGTGGTAGTTATGTTATGGGAGTCTTTCTGGAATAAACACTCTGACACCAGTGAGAGTGGAGAAGAGAGACATTGCTGGCTGAACTGAAGCCAGGACAGCCCTGAAAGCCTTCAATGCTGGGTCCAGTTTGCATTCTCATTTTATACTCTAAAACTACAAGGTGTGGTGGCCAAGCAAGCATGATTTTACAGAAGTGTATGTGGCAGCCAGTTAAGGGCTATTTCTCCAGTTCATTCAGTTCCAGGTAGCAGCGAAACCATGCTTAGCAATAGGCTTAACAATGCCTTAAGTGAGTCACTAAGTAAACAAAAACACCAGTATCTCATCATTGATCTTTTTGTAAAAACCTTATTCTACTTAAGTTAGTTATTGTACTTGATCTTAGCCAAGATGCCAAGAAGCGATAGCCACTGACAGAGGCAACTTAAGGGAGAAAGGGCTTATTCAGGGTCACCATTTGAGGGGACTTGGCATCATGGTGGGTAGGCATGTAGCCTGGAGGTCCGTCTCTTAGGTAATTCTAGCTCTTGTCAGGCTCACAGTATTAACTACCACAACTGGGATTCTCACCACTTTCCTTTCTTTCTTTTTGTTGCTTTTTTTTTTTTTTTTTTTTTGAGATAGGGTCGCCCTGGCTGGTTTGGAGCTCCCTCATGTAGACCAAGTTGGCTTTGAACTCATCCTCCTCTACCTGCTGAGTGCTGGAATTAAAGGCTTTTACCGCCATGCCCCATTATTTCTTTATAGATTATTTTACCCCAAAGCCTCCCCAACATGTGTGCCAACTCTTTGTGTCTTTGTATCCAGAGATGAGTAAATCCTTGGTGATTTAAAGCGGTAGAATTGGGCTGTGTGTGGGCAGTTAGAAAGCATTTGTTAACGGTGCCACTAAAGCTTTTTCTGAGCTTATTACTGGCTTCAGTTTCACTCGAAAATGCATCTCTTTCTAAACAATGACCTGGCTGTGTTTTCTTCAAAGAAACCCATGCTAGGGGTCTCAATAACCAATCAGTTTGTCAAAACATGGCACTTTTCCAAAAGAGTCTGGCTTGTCAGAAATGGCTTCAGTCATGCTCACAGATGGCTATATTATTTATTATTATTGTTTGAGGCGGAGTCTTATATATCCCAGGCTGGCCTTAAGTTCCCTGTGTAGCCAAGGATGACCTTGAACTGCTGGTCCTCCATTTCCATCTCCTGATTACAGCTGTGCACAGCCATGCTGTGTTCATGCGGCACTCTACCAATCGAGCTACATCCCCAGCCCTGAATATTATATGTACGTTTCCACTTTTCTCCAGCTCTCTTCCCGCCGTTCTCCTTACACAGTTGTGTGGTCTTCCAGCTTTATACTAGACAAACCTGGCGGTGATGGCACTGATGTCTGGCCTCTGGGTAGTTGAAGTTAGGACAGGCCACACTTGAGATACACAGCAGACCCTTGCTTTGATTTTCTGGTCTACAGAGTGATATGTGTTGTACCATATGTAATGCGTACTCACCCAGCTTTCTTTCAACCAGGCAGTGATAACCTCTTAGAGATTTTGAGAAGAAAATGGTGGAAATACACGCTCCTAGGACTTGCTGACGTGGAGGCCAATTATCTCATTGTCAGAGCATACCAGTACACGACACTGACCAGTGTCCAGGTAAGAAGGAGTTGGGATGATCTGGGTTTTGTGCTCCCTAGAGGAGAACATGTACTCATATATGTGTATCTATTTTTATTGGAAACCTGTGCATCGGAAGAAGCCCTAAACACAGGTGGATGATAGGTGTTTTCCAGTACAGCATATGTTCTGCTGAGTCACATTTCCTGAAATTACTGACAATGTATACTTTTTGTGTTGATCACTTCCCAGGCTGCTCACACTATAGCAGATTAGAATAGTGCTGAGCAAAATAAGGGTAAATATTTAGCTGTCACTTGCTGTGGTGATGCTGACAGCCCTGTTGTGTTTTTGGCTCAAGCACAGAGGTAAGTGTGGTTCTGTACTGCAAAGCTAAAGGTTTTTAAAGCCAGTGAGGATGTAGGAGCCACTGAAGGAGCCTACTGGACACACTAGCCAGAGGTGATAACAACAGTGAAGCTCTTGTCCCTTCTCCTCCACAGATTTAATTTTAAAATTACATATTATTGTTAGTGTGTGTGGAGGTCTGGTGGCAACTCTGTGGAGTCAGTTCTTTCCATCCTCCTTCTCATGGGTTCTGGGGACTGAACTTGGGCCTCCAAGCTTGCCCAACAAGTACCTTCACCCCTGGGCCATCTTACCAGCCTGTTATTATTCTTGCAGGGTTGAAAGGAAAATGTTCCTTCATAGCAGTACTTATCAACCTTGTAGTTGAGAAAGACGAGTCCGGCTGTCTTAGTGTTAGCAAAGATGAAGCATGTCACTGCCCTGACTTGCCTTGACTTAACAGCCAAATATTCTATAATTTGGAGGTGAAAGTGAGATACACCACTGTACACTTCGGAGTTCAATAATTCTATAGCTTTCTCAAGAAAGGGCCTTGCATTGTAGCTGCCAATAGCCTGATACCCACTATGTACTGAACTCACAATCCTCCTATGTGAGCCACCTTCCACCAAGTGCTAGGTTTGCAGGTAGGAGTCACTGCCTGGTTTCTATAGCTTTAAAAAGAATTTAAGACAGGGTCTTGGTTATTGCAGCTTGGTCTCTGTTGTAGCTAAGGATGATTCTGAACTTCTAGTCTTCTTGCCTCCACCTCCCAGGGCTGTGATTACAGTTATACACCACCACATTCTTTTCATACTGCACTAGCCAGGGCTCAAACCCAAAGCTTTAGGCATGCTAGGCAAGCATTCTACTCACAGAGCTGTACTCCCTCTGAACCACCTCTTACAAGTATTTTTAATTTAAATAATTTAAATCTTATTTTATATATTCTGGTGTTCTTAGTGTGTGTGTGTGTGTGTGTGTGTGTGTGTGTGTGTGTGTGTGAATATTTTGACTACATGTATAGATGTCTACCATGTAGATGCGTAGTGCCCCCAGAGGCCAGAAGAGGGTGTCAGATTCCTAGGAACTGGAATTACAGACAGTTGTGAGCCTTCATTTGGATGCAGAGAACCAAACCTGGGTTCTCTGCAAGAACAAGTAACTCTTAACTGCCGAGCCATCTCTCCTGTACTATGTGAGTGTTTTGCCTGTGTGTGTGTGTGTTTCTGTACCACATGTGTGTGAAGGTGTTCATAGAGGCCATTAAGGGCATACCCCTGTAATTGAAATTACAGGTTTTTGTGAGTCACATGAATGCTGGAAATTGATCCCTGGTCCTTTGGAAGAGCAGCCAGTGCTCCCAAACCACTGAGCCATCTCTCTAGCTTTTTCCCGTAACTTGTTGAGGTTTCATTTTTCTCACTATCCTAACACAGGTATGTTCTCTAGATCTCCAAATTCTGGGAACTATCAAGGAATTGAGGTAAATCAAATGTATTTTATTTTGAAAAGGCAAGGCTTGTTGAAAATCAGTGTTTTCCAATGTGAGTATAGACTACATGATTTCCCCTCATTTTTATATCCATGTTCCTCCCGTACTAGGGTCTTAGGTAGTACTCTGCTCACTGAGCCACTATGATGCTTTTTAAAACTTCCATTAAATGAGACTTCTGGGACTGAAAGTATTAAAGACCCTCCCTTGCTCCCCGAGCCAAGAAAACAGTCAGAAAGTAAGTTCCTGTAGATGCATGGCCCAAGGTAACAGGTGTCAGACGAGACTGGGTGGCATTTCAGAGTGGGTGGGACCTGAGATTATAGGATCTGGTCTAAGCACTTGTGTGTTGGCTCACAGACTGGCTGGCTGGAGATCACTCAGTTACAAAGTTGAGGCTGAAGCCCCTGTAGCTCTTCCCATGACACAAGCGACTCTCCCATAGTCATGTCCCACCAAGGGTTCTTAGAGATAGAGTAAATTTAGGCTTGGTGTGAAGATATAGTTTTGGGGTAGGATGTCTCTCCTATGATAGTTTTTAGAGTGGGCTCTTCCAACTTTTTTTTTTCCTAAGAAATATAGCTTATCCCATGTAAAGCCATTACGGCTGGATTCTACTGGTGTCTTCCAGTAGTTTGTTGTTCAGGTAGGCTCACAGAAGCAAAAAGCCAGGGCCCATCACTGGAGGTATGCTGGCCGCCAGTGCCTCCAATTGCCATGAGAACAAGCAATAAACTGCTTTAGCCAGGATCCCACAGACTGCTTGGGGCTTGTTCTGTCCATGGGGCAAACTGCAAACCCCACAGAGTGGGCAATGAGGTAGAAGTTTTGGGAATGTAATTAGTGTACAGCATACATTTACACTTTATTCCTGAATATACTAATACATCAAGAATTATCCTTCAGGGGTTGGAGAGATGTCTCAGTGCTTAAAAACGCTTGCAACTAACTGGAGTTGTTTCCAGTGTGCACATTAGGTGGCTCACAGTCACCTGCAACTCAGTTCCGGGAGACTTAACACCCTCTTCTGGGCTACACACCCACCTACCCCACAGAAATTAAAATGCTTTTCAGTGTATTTCATCTTTGAATTCGAACATGCACGCGCGCGCACACACACACACACACACACACACACACACACACACACACACAGAGTCAAATTAAGAACCCAGTAAGTGAATTCTCTGTTCTTTCTTATCTTGCCATTGGATTTGATCAGCTGGACAGTATGAGGGGTATAGCAAGTATCTTTGGGACCCAAGTGATAGAGGAACATAAGCTAAAGATGAACAGGGATCCATGTTGAGAGCAAGCATGTATCTCACGTGGTAGAACTGAACTCTGAACTCTATATCAGGGAGATAGTGTCTGTTTATTCCCTCATAGTAGCCTGTACTTGGTAGCACTTTGTTCAATTACAATTAAATATAGGACTTTGTGATTTCTAATTTCATGTCTGTCCAGTTTAGTATTTGCGCCTCAGGACAGGGTTAACATCTGTTTTGTTCAACTCTGTATTTCCAGCTCATTTTATGACACACACACACAGTTGCTAGGCCAAACCCTCTTACAGAGTCTCAGACACTGGACATGCTTAATAAATATCTGTTGACTGTGTAAATGGATGTACTAGAAGGAGACTCTGTTTCCTGATTTAAGAATAAACCCAGAGGGGAATGTAGAGGCTCCTGGACAAAATGAATAGACTCAGCCCTTGAGTCTCTCTGTTTGTTTTGAGACTGGTCTCATCTATCCCAGGCTGGTCTAGGATTCACTATATAGCCAACAATAACCCTGAACTCCTAATCCTCCTGCCTCTAGAGATCAAACTCAGGGCTTTGTGCCCACTAGGCAAGCACCCTGCCAGTTGAGCTACATCCCCAGCCTGTCTTTTAACTGTATAATTTGGGGTTTTGTGTGTATATCTACAATAGGTTTGCAAATCCAATGTGAGAGTCAATACAAGGATGGAATGAGTTAGCTCAGGTAAAGTGCTTGTATGCAGGGCCAGCCTTGATCCATGTTTCCGCAAGTACTTTCTCCTGTTCCTACTCAATTGTGCTTTTCGTTTCAAGCTGCTGAGATGCTTGAAGCTGCTTGCTTTCCTTCCCCTCAGCTCCTGGATTGCTTCGGGATTCCTGTGTTGATGGCTCTCTCCTGGTTTATTCTCCGTGCAAGATACAAAGTGATCCACTTCATTGCCGTGTTTGTCTGCCTGCTGGGTGTAGGGACCATGGTTGGTGCAGATATATTAGCAGGGAGAGAAGACAATTCAGGTGAGACTGTGCCACTTGCTCAGCCATAGAAGTGTATCTTCAGGTCAGTCTGGCAAAGTTACCCTGACAGAAAGTGGGTGATGGGGGAACTCTTCTTCTGAGGGTGAACAAGAGTCCATGGGATGGGGGAATTCTTCTGAGGGTGAGCCAGAGTTCATACTGCGAGCAAGCCTGCACCCACTTGCTGGGCTGTCTCCTCCTCAGTGGGGTGTGCTGGCGCGTGTTTTCTCAGAGCACTCTGCACTTCCTGTAGCACGTTGCTCACTCACTGCTGAATATTTAACTTCACTTTCCCATTTAAGCATGTTTAACATTTTTTAAAAGTACGCTTGTAGAAATCATCTTTTGCTTTGAACATTTTGGATTAGTTACTCCAGAACCCTATATTCTTTAGCTTGTTCTCTTTTTCTCTCCCTTTTAATGTCATTCTTTCTCTGTTTCTTTTTCTTCCTCCGTTTTCTTTGTTTCTTCTCTTTCTCTATCCTTTTCCTTCCCTTCTCCTTCATTCCTTCTTTTCCATCCTTCCTTCGACTCTACCCTCTCCCTCTCCTCTCCCTTCATTTTTTTCCCCTTGAACTCAAAGTCCTCCTTCAGCTCCCAATTGCTGTGGAACAACAAACCTGTGCTACCATACTCCACAGTGCTTTGCTTTTATAACAAAAGAGACTTGGCTGGAGACCTTTTTAATGACTCTGTTGATCTGGATGCTTTATTTCAATAGACAGTATCGATGCTAAACTAGGTCTGAAGTTATCCAGTCTCCAAGGTAACTTCTGTGTCTCTTTGAATCAAGATAAAGTCACTTTCTTTACCAAGCTTTCTTTCCTATAGTTCTAAACAAATCTCTTCAATACAGTCCATGAATCTGTCATGTCTTTAGATGGCTTCCTGTCATGATGGTATACAGTACCATCCTCCAGTCTGTTGGTCTCCCAAGGAGTCAGAATGTGAAAAATCATACCAGTGTTGAGCCAGACAGTAAGGACAGGAGCCTTTAAACTTAAAGAAACTAGACTTAAATAAAATTTCATTCAAATGAACTGAGTTTGGTAACTCTCGGCTTACCTGTTGACAACACATTCCTTTTTGTGCCTCATTGTCCTGTAGGGAGTGATGTTCTTATCGGTGACATCTTGGTCCTGCTTGGGGCTTCCCTGTATGCTGTGTCTAATGTGTGCGAAGAGTACATCGTGAAGAAGCTGAGCAGACAGGAGTTTTTAGGGATGGTGGGCCTATTTGGGACAATCATCAGTGGCATACAGCTGTAAGAATCTACAAGTTTTCATTAAAACAAGATAAACAAATATGGGAGTAGGGGGCAGGGAGCATGAATTATAACAAAGTATAATGACGTATATGTGAAATACATTAAGACAAAGGGCCAGCGAAATGCCTCAGTGGGTAAGGGTGCCTGCTACCAAGCCTGATGACCTGAGTTCAGTCCCTGGGACACATACGTGGTAGAGAGAAGAAACTCCTGTGAATTATCTTCTCACCTCCACTGCACATTGTGGCATGTGTGCACATATACTCACACACACATGCACTCACACACACACTTACACATACATACACTCACACACTCACATACACAAACTCACATACACACTCACATACACATGCACTCACACACACACTCACACATACATGCAATCACACACTCACATACACAAACTCACATACACACTCACATACACATGCACTCACACACACTCACACATACATGCAATCACACACTCACACACACAAACTCACATACACACTCACACACACATATACTCACACACACCTATACACACACTCATATACACACTCACACACAAACTCATACACACACACAAACTCACATACACACTCACACACACATATACTCACACACACACCTATACACACACTCATATACACACTCACACATACATATACTCACACACTCACACACAAACTCACATACACACTCACACACACATATACTTACACACACACCCATACACACACTCACACACACTCAGATACATACCACACAGTGAAGAAATATAATAACAACTAAAATACCAAAATGAAACCCATTACTTAACATGCAAACTTACACTTTTTTAAATTAGAGGGTAGGGGCTAGAGAAATGGCTCAGCAATGAAGAACTCTTGCCATTTTGCCAGAGGACCTCAGAGAATTGGTTCTCAGCAACCATATCATGGCTCATAACCATTGTAAACTCAGTTCTAGGGACTCTTTCTGACTCTTTCTGACCTCCAGGGGCACCAGAAAACACACAGTGTGCAGACGTACATGCAGGCTAAACACTCATACACATATAATAAAATAAATCTAAAAATGACTTTAATGAGAAAATATTTGATAGATGATTCCTTTCTCTAACTACCAGTATTTGTTTAACCCCAAATCATATTGGAAATCAGTAACTTGATAAAAATCTAATAAAGGATTCTATTCTTTTTTTTTACTATTAAATTTGCTTGGTTTTTGAGACAAGGTCTTATACTGTAGCTCAGGCTAGTCTCCATGTTATGGCAATCCTGCCTCAGCCTCCTGAATTCTGGGATTACAAGTATGAGTCACATGCCTGTCTAGAGATTTGTATATTCTAAGAAAGAAACAAAACAAAACAAAAACAAAAAACAACTCAGCATAACTCTTTGCCTTACTCAAATTACAGCAGCTAAACTTTCTATAAAATAAGTAAGAAAAATTAACATGTAGATCTTTACATAGCCTCTTGTTTTGATCTTAGATTGATTGTGGAATATAAGGACATTGCCAGGATTCACTGGGACTGGAAAATTGGTATGTAATTACATGATGACTTTTGAAATCAGCATTTTGTCCTCTAGCTGACAAAAATGCACACCAAGGAAGGAACACTTCATTTTAATCACACCAGTGATGGTGTCTTGCTCTAAGCCTCTAGGCTTCCTTCTTAATCTTAGTAAGAAATAGCTTTTCTTTTCTGGGAATTCTGAATAGAACCAAGACTGACCTTCATCACATTAGCTATCAAGCAAATAAATCTAAGTCTCAGGTCCTTGAACTTGTAAAGTTTATCACGGGCTTCTTGTAATATGTAAAGCATTAACCTCAAGTGATGGTTGGATGTAATACATCTGCTACCTCCACTCTTCTGATATTTTTGGGAATAAAGTAGAAACTGTTAGGTTAGGAAAGATAGGGACCTTGATGATGAGAAAGAAGTAGTTAAATAGTACATAAATGTTATTGAAGATTGTATGCTATGCCTAGATAATGCAGGGAAATTAACTATCTTAGGTATCCCAAAAGTGCATGTATGTGTGTGAGGATGTGTGTGTGAGATTGTGTGTGTGTGTGTGTGTGTGTGTGAGAGAGAAAGACTGTGTGTGAGAGTATATGTGAGATTTTGTGTGTGTGTGTGTTTGTATGCTCACGTGCTCGGGCACGTATGTTCAGCATAGGATGTGGTTTAAAATTGCTTATAAAACAGACATTGCTACTGCAGTCATCTGCATGGTCAGCACTGTCCTAAAGTGGAGAATGATATTGCTCTGTCTTGGAACATGTAATTCAATAGGTTGGATAAAATATAGTGGATCTAAAGTCTATCTTTGATGTCCTAAAAATACTTTATTGTGAATTCAGTCATACACACCACATCCAACCAACCAAATAAAAGCAAACAAGGCCAGCGAGGGATTTCTTCTTTTGATATGTGATGTTGACCTGGCTTTTGTTGACCTTTTATATCACAGCCATCTTCTTGTCTTGGGAGAGTGGGTGATGCGGGGCAATAAGGGCTGTTGACTCGGTCACACCAGAAGGAGGATTTATGGTCTTGATCACCTGACTCCATGTTGGATCTTCACAAGTTGTTATTTTATGGTTATTATATTTTAGAAAGCTTTGTAGTCTTTTTAGAATGCTGACTGTTAAAGAGAAGCATTTCAGGGAGTTTGACAAAGGATTGGGGAGTTTTGTGTCACATTTAGACTCTGAGTGCATTCCTTCTGCCATCTCTTTATAACACGAGTTGTTCTGTTTCTTCACAGTGCTACTATTTGTGGCGTTTGCCCTCTGCATGTTCTGCCTGTACAGCTTCATGCCATTAGTGATTAAGGTCACCAGTGCCACTTCTGTCAACCTGGGCATCCTGACAGCTGACCTCTACAGCCTTTTCTTTGGCCTTTTTCTGTTTGAGTATAAGGTAAGAAAATGGATTGTGTTCAAAGAAGAAAACACTTTGGGCTCAAAGCAAATTTATGTATTTATCTGAGACAGAGTCTCAGGTGTCTTGGGCTAGGCTGAGATTCACTATGCAGCTGGGGATGACCTTTAACTTCTGTTTCATCACAGGTGGTGTATATATTGCTGGGGAGGGGCACAGGGCTTCAGGTATACTGAGAAAACTCTCCCAATCGAGATCTACCCCATCTCTGAACAAGTTTGTTTAAGATTCTGGATCTCAACATAGAACTTCCTTGTGCCCCTAGCTTCTGTGTACAACTTAGAACTTGTTCTGAAGAACAATTGCTCTTCTAAGGCTTTTCAAAGTGATGAGATGCAGCAGGGTTCATCTTTGATGTATGGAGAACACCAGCTGTAAGGAATGCTAACACATATTCCAGGGGCCGCTGTTGACCTTGAAAAACAATCCAACTTAGACTGGATACTCAGAGAGTCTCTGTTCACTCTGTTTGCACAAACTAAAGGTCTGAAGGAGCTGATGGAGGGGCAGGAGAGAGGGGCATATTACCATGCACTTGTGATTAGAATGGTCCCATCTTTGGTGGTAATGTTTTTCTTTGTTTTGAGACAAGCTTTCACGTAGCCTAGGCTTGCCTCAAGTTCACTGTGTAGAAGAGGATGATCTTGAACTCAGGATCCTCTTGCCTCCACGTTCTGGGTGGTAGGATTTCAGACATGCATTCCCACACCTGGCTCCCTTCCAGATACCGAAACAGGAGCCCTCAGTGCTTGCCTGAATTATTGATACATAAAGCTCAATGGGGTCTCAAATGTTTGTGAATCAAGTGTCAACCTTCTTACCCTGCATCGTGATGTGGGATAGGGGCCACATCCTTGTCCTTGAATACTTGCTGGTGAGGGAATTTCTCAGCTAACACTGGTGAAGTGTTTATGGATTATTGATAGCATCACATAGAAATGTTAAAGTGAATCGGAGAAGCAGTTTTTATGATAGGCCCACTTTTTTTTTTTTTACTTTTTGAGATTATAATCACAGCATTTCTCTCTTCCCTTTCCTCCCCTCAAGCCCTCCCATATAACTTTCCCCACTCTTCTTCAAATCCACAGCCCCTTATTTCACTGTTATTGTATGCATATGTGTATATACGCATATTTATATGAGAATTGTTAAGGGCAGCCACATGTCTCCTAAGGAAGGGCACTGCTTTCTGGTGCTGAGGCTGCACATGGCCCTCTGGGGGATTCTAGCCTAGGGGAGTGGCTGTCTGTGACCTCTCTCATCTGTTTGTTTTTTCTCATATTTAAAAAACACTATTACATCTCATTTACTTGTTGTGTGTGTGCACACATGTGACATGGCATACTTGAAGATGTCAGGAAGTCACTCTTGGGAGGAGTCAGTTCTCTCTGCATCATGTGGGTCTCGGGGGTTGAACTCAGGTTGTTAGGACCTGGGGTTGCGGGTAGCTTTACTTGCTGAACCTTCTCCCTGGCCCCACCTTTCCTATTTTTTAACCAACCATATTATCGTTAGTCATTTAGCTTTTTGTTTTCCACTCTAAGCAAAATAATGTCCAGGGGGAGGTAAAGGTAAAAGAACGAAACCTTCCAGTTCGAGGTACACTTGTCACGGCCCATTATATTTTGAATCATAACAAATACTTTGTTTTGTGAGCATGGAATATTTCAGCCTAAGATCTTAAACACTTTCTTGTCAATTGCTCCTAACATTAACACGGAGGAGTGTTTTCATGTGTCCTGTTATTGGGCAAATGACAGCAAACATGGGAGAATGTCATTTCGTGACCACCGTGTCCCTGCATGTCTAGCAGCTCACTTTGATATCAGACTTTATTGTTTTTGGTCAAAGGCCATTGGAAGACTCAGAGAGCAAAGGGCAGCTTTGCCATGATCTTCAGAGTTTTAGATAGTGTGTGTGTGTGTGTGTGTGTGCATGCACATATGCATGTGCAGAGGCCAGAAGAGGACACATGCTATGTGCCTTATTTCCTTGAGACAGGGTCTCTTACAGAATATAGGGGCCCTGGGATCTTCACTGACCCCACAGTGCTAGGACGGTAGACTTATGGGCCACACCTAGATTTTTATTTGGGTTCTGGGAATCTGAACTTATGCCCTATGTTGGCACAGTCAGCCCTCTCTCCCTTTGAGCCATCCTGCCTGTCCCCTAGGTGTAGTTTCTGAAGATAGGTGCTTATAAGCCACCACTTAAAAAAAATTACAGTTCCTAAAATAACTTTGGCTCTAATTTTTCCAAGTAAGCATTTTAAAAAGAGGCTTAAATTCTCTTTTTAAAATTTACCCATTTCCACTCTTAAGCACTTGGCATCTCTAGTATTGCTCCTGATCAAATAAATGCCCGTTGAATAGAATAGTCTCCAGAAATGTCCCATGAAGATCCATACACAGAGGACCCGATTAAAAGTGGGGAAAGGCCTCAGGAGACCTACCTCCTCACTCAGCCTCTGTTTCAAAGATGTGACACAAGAGTCAGGAGGACCCTGCACACAGCACAAAAGCAAAGAGGACCTGTTTTGAACATACTATATAGGTTTTCCCACTGTTCATACAAATCCTTCCTAGAAAGCAGGAATAACTTTCATAACTCTGATTTTAAAAGTTTTCTAAGCTGGGTCCAATAGCACAGGCCTAAGTGTATAGCCTCAGCTACTTAGGAGACTGAAGCAGGAGGATTCCCTGAGTCCAAGAAGTTCAGACCAGCTTGAGTAATGTGATGAGATTCCGTCTCAAAGGGAAAAACGTTCAGATCACATGAAATAGCTTTAACTTCCTCGAATGGTCTGTGAGTTATCCCCCACCCCAAACAGTAACACCACTGATGTGTTGGGCAGCATGCTAAATACTAGATGTAGGACTTAAAAGCTCATGGTAGAAAATGAGTCAGCTGTTCAGCTTGACACTATCATTGGCTTTTGTTGTTATTTCTTTTAATTTACTTTGTGCATGTGTGTACATTTGCATGCCTACCTTTTGTGTGCCTGCCAGATGTGTGGGTTCCGAGGAGGTCAGGAGAGGATGCTAGATCAACAGGTGGTTCTAAGATGTCTGACATGGTGTTGGGAACCTCACGGGATTTTAGACTTTTATAGGGAATGATGTCCTGATTCTCTCTAGCTGTAGAAATCAGAATTTTATCAGATGAAATAGTGTAGGCTGAGAAGGTCCTGAGGAGATGGTCCTGTGTTGGCTAATGGTGCCATAGGTTGGGCTTTCTCATGCTGTGCATGCTGGACAAGTAATTATCCCACTTTGTGAGAATGCTTTTTTAATGGGATCTGATCTGTGGATCACCATGGAGAAAGGCAGAGAGGTTCCTCCCAAAGACCCAAGGATCTGGTCAGGGATGTAGCTCGTTTGGTAGTGTATCAGCCTAGCATGTATGAAGTGATAGATCGGATGCTTAGCACTTTATAAAACAGATGTGGTGGCCCAAAGCACTTGGGAAGTTGAAGGAGGGGGACCAGACAGCCTTGGCTATCCAGTGAATTTGAGATCTGCCTGGACTACACCACACACACACACACACACACACACACACACACACACAAACACACACACCACACAAAAGATCCAGGGATCCAGATAACTGCCAACCAGGTGCTGTTGTCCCAGCCCTGTAACGAGTACAGGTTTTTCCTCCCGCCGCTGGTCTTGTCCCGTCCCGCCGCCGCGCCAGCCCCAAATAACACACAGAGACTCTGTATTTGATAGTATACTGTTGGCCAGTTACTACTTTCTTATCGGCTAGCTCTGTCTTAAGTATTAACCCATTTGTGTTAATCTATGTGTTTCCACATGGTCTTACCGAGAGCGGAGGAATGGCTGTTCTGTTCTCTCCAGGCTCTCCATCCTGACTCCTCCTTACTACTTCCTCTTTCCTCCTTGTCTCCTAGTCCATCCTATCTTCCTTTCCTATTGGCCAACAGTAATTTGGCCAATATATACATATATACATAATGACATCCCCCATCACAGCCCAGTGTTCCCAAGTATACAGGGGTGGACTAGGGATGTTGGCATCTCCTTTGACAACTTCCAGAAAGAAATTGTGAAGGTGGATCTCAAAGAAGAGTTGGTAGCAGGCCCCAGAACCATGCTGTGTGAGGACATGTAACTGTCTGTTCTTTCCTCCCAGTTTTCAGGCCTCTACATCCTGTCGTTCACAGTCATCATGGTAGGCTTCATCTTGTACTGCTCCACCCCAACACGCACAGCAGAGCCTGCAGAAAGCAGTGTGCCCCCTGTCACCAGCATCGGGATCGACAACTTGGGACTGAAGCTTGAGGAGAGTGGTCTCTCAGAGACCCCTTCTGCCGTCTTGTAGTCTTGAAGTCAGACAAACCACAGATTCCCATGTGTCACCAGAGGAGAGCAGAGCCTGTCACTGCCAAGGATGGACGTACCTGAGGAGACATCAGCCCCAGAGTGAACACCTTCTGTGTCAGATTGCATCCGTGGTTAGATTTTAGAAAGGAACACTGAGCAATGGTTCCAAACTAGAAATACCAAAGTAGAGCATATCCAAGTGTAGTGTTTCTGAGTGTTGATTACTAGTACCTGTCAGTGTCAGAGAGACGCATGAAGTCCCCTCCATGGGGTCTCAGAGACACGTGTAGAAAGGGAAGGAAGGATGGGGGACCTAGCCTCAGGGCTGTTCACATAGTCTGGAATGGTTGTGCAGGAAGATTCCTCTGTTGGAAGCTTCAGGCTTTTGTCTTTTGGGAGCAGTTACTGTCCGTGGGCCTTACAGAATGTAGACACCCATGATGCCTGGTCCCTGATGGCATGTGGTGGGGAAGGTGGGTGGGGCAGCATTTGAGAACTCCCATGATAAAATGGGACTACATTGAAAGCAGCTAACGAGTGCAAGAATAGAGGAATCCTCTCCCGATTGTGTCCTTTTATCTTTTATAACAAATCTCTCTCCTCCATCATCTCTTGCTCCTCAACAGGCACATTTGCTCCTGTATTCCAAGTTCCAGAGCAAATGGCTCCCAAAGCCTGTTACACTGGTCATCCCTCACCTTCAGCCCCACACCACAGTCCGAATTCTCCAAATAAATCTGCTCATGTCACATCTGAGATGCCCAGGAATATTCCCATTGCCTTCATTTCACTGAGCCACAGTTTAGAAAATTAACCTGTGTTGCAAGTTCTCACAGCAAGGTGAAAACTTGGTTACTGTCCTGGCTGAAAAAAACATAGTATCATTGAGATGAAAACTCCATGTTAATCATTTTCTAGGATGAATGAGTGCTGGAGTCCCAACTGTAAGAGGACAGCATCTTCCTTCTTCCCACAGGTTTACAATGCTCCAAGGTTTCTGACAATTCCTCAGTACAGTGTCAACATGTAGCCTCAGCATAATGTCAGCCACCAGAATGCCACCTTCAGAAAACTATGTAAATTTTTTTTTGTATAAGTATAATAAAGAAATTTGGGGTAAGTGTTCATATTATTAAAAGACTTTAAACTCATTGAAATAGAACCACATAGTGTACATTTGTTTGAGATTAACCTGTTTCTCAGAACTTTATCTGTATCTTGTTTTTAGCTTTGTGTGTCTCTGTGCGTTTGTATATGGTGTGTGTGTGTGTGTGTGTATGCACTCACATATGTGTGGGTGTGGGCATGTTCTCAGATAGAGGTCAGAGGACAGCCTCAGGCATCAGTTCTTGTCTTCTACCTTGTTTGTGGCAGTCTCTTGGCTGTTTCCTGATGCATACTCAAGGCTAGCTGACACACAAGCTTTTGGAGGGTCTTTAATCTCCTCCCAGTTCACCATAGGAACACTGGGATTACAGCACCTCATTTCCATGCCTGGCTTTACATGGCTTCTGGGATTTGAACTCAGCTCCTCACACCCATGTAGCAAGGGCCTTACCCACTGAACCATCTTTGAAGCTATTGTTTTTGTGAAACTGTCTTACTATGTGGCCCAGGCTGGCTCTGAACTCCTGGTCCTCCTGCCTCAGCCTCCTGAGTGCTGGAATTGCAGCCGGGTAGCATCATGCTGACTTTCCCTTGCAGATATACACAGCTTGGTGCATTCACATTTTCTTTATATAAGGCTTTTCAGAACCAGATGTCAGAACCAGATGTGAGGCAAGGCAGTCATACCTGCTTGGGAGCAGTGCTGGTACTGAGTTCTTCGCAGCAATCAGTGGTTTGTAGGTTTTTGTTTGTTTTGAGACAAGGTTTCTCTGTGTAGCCTGGCCATCCTGAACCAGACTGGTCTCAGACTTGGGGTGTTTTCTTTTTACCCCCCCCCCCATCAATGTCAGGTAAGCCCCATGTCCAAAAGTCTAGACTCTAGAATCTAGAGCCTCCCAAGACATCACCACCAGCTGCATACCCATTCAAACCCCACACTGACTGAATAGTATGGAAGAGTTGCTTGTTGGCTCCCCCGTGTGGATAAACTATGAAACTAAATTGTGGTGACACTAAAGAGAAGAGACTTTGCTGATGCCATTGTTATTACTGTATTTGGATGCGCAGTTACCATTTCTCCACTGTTACCAGGATGTCTGACATCATATATATGTTAGATTTTCTGGCCAGTCAAGTCCCGGGATCTGCCTGCCTCTGCCTGCCTCTGCCTCCCAGACCTGAGGTCACAGATGATTGTGACCACACTCAACTTTTGTGTGGGAGCTTCAGACCAGAGCACAGGTCCTCAAGTTTATACTTTACCCACTGAGCCATTCACTAGCCAGGTAGGGTTTGGTTTCATTTTAGACAGGGTCTCACTGTGTAGTCATGGCTGGCTTTAAATTCCCAGAGACCCACTAGCGTCTGCATCCCCAAGTGCTGGGGTTAAAGATGTTCACCACCTTAACCCTCTGGTGTTTGTTTTAAAGAACACGTCATCAGGACTGCCCTCAGCAGAGGCTGTCCCCAGTTAACAATTGTGGAGACACATTTCACTCACATGGAGATTGATGATTAAGGTGCAAATGGAATCCAGTTTTGTAACCTGTGGCCAGCACCAAGGCCCCAGACAGTGAGCAATAAGGGAGAAGATCTTGTCCTGAGGAGATGCTGAGCCAGCAACTACACAAGAGCTGCTGGGAAGGAAGGTTTCTGTGGAAAAGCCTGTCTTGGGAGTGACATTTGCCCTACAGCCCGGGAGCCTGCCATTTAAGGAAGCTTTAATGTAAACATTTGTCTCCTCAAGTTCCTCTGTATGCCTGGACACAATTCTCTTTTCTATCATAATTATGGTGATGTGCTATTTCATCCATGTTGAATTTACTTAGTTTCTGGCCGTAGCCTCAGCTTTCACAATATATCAATAAATGGGAGATGTTCAGCAGAGAGCCACTTAGCTGATTAAAAAGCAAGAGGTTTATGAGGAAATTAGGTAATGCTGAGCACACAGCCCTCTAGAAGTCACATGGAGGGTATATTCAGAAGTCTGGCAGCATACATAAAAGGTACTTCAGAGGATGAACCTCATCAGGGCAGCAAAATACCACCACTCTTCTGTGTCTTGACCTGTGTGGTTTAATACCATAAGGCTTTACCTCCCAGTGTGAAGATCTTTTCCATGACCTTTATTCTTTGCTTTAAACAATGCTCTCTCATCCAGCCATCAATTCTAAGCACAGATAATTATGGGGATGGAAGTTTAGATGTAAAAGGTGGGGTGAAAAACAGAGCTAAGATAAAAGACTGCTCAGATGTTTATTGCCTCTAACTGACCACCATCACACATTTGGATGTTTTCAAATGCTCTTCACTTAGTCACCTGTCACTGCTCACTGTTTGCTGGGTGAAGAGGCCAGAATTTATACAAGATACGACTTACAGATGTGCAAAGCTAGTGTGGCAAGTTTCCCTGTGAAGTACCACCTTCTCTGATCTTGGGAGTCAACTTTGCTGTCTGCTTTTCCACAGTTTCACACACCTCTGCTGTAGATGTGTGTGTATATACACTTACATACACATATATACAGATGTATAATAACATAAATATATGCACACACATTTAAACTTTTTTCAGCAATGAGGCTTGAACCTGGAGCAATTAAGTAGGAAAACTATTCTAGGCTATGGTTCTATAGGGCTTTCAAAAGTTGGATGCATCTATTATAGATTAGGAAAATGGGCACAGTGTGAAAATAAGGAATTGGAGGTCTACCTTCTGTCTTGCATTGTGAATTCACCTAATTAGCAATTCAGGTGACTCTACTACCCTCTTAATCATAAGACCTTATGGGCAGAGATGCTGTCTACAGCAGCTGGGATGTTTGAAACCTGGATGTGATGGTGTTTGGAGGTGGGGTCCTGGGAGGTCTGTTATTGCGGTAAATAAGGATCAGGATAAACAAATAGGCCGAATAGATGTTTATTCAGGAAGAAATAACTTACAACCTAGACAGATGAACACCAGGAAATTCAACCCGATCCTCTCCTGTCCGAGTCATGCCAGAAAGAGAGAGCCTTTCCTGGCCCCCTCTGACCTCCTTCCACAGGTCACTTCCGCCCATGGCTCCACCCCCAAATGGGCGTGGTCAATGCCACAGAAGGAGACAAAGTGAATATCCCACTACAGTCTGTAGGTCCTGGTGGCAGAGTCCTGAGTGGGACTGGTGGCTTTAGAAAAGAGGCTTCAGGGAGGTGCCTTCCTCCTTATGTCTGGTGGGAAACAGTGAGAAACTGCCCGTTTATACACCAGGAAACTGGTTCTCATTGGAGGCCCAATCTATGGATGCTCAGTCTCCGAAACTGTGTACAATCAACTTCTGTCGTCCTGGCTATTTTTGTTATGACAGCCAAGATAGACTGAGCCATGCCTCAGGCTATACCAAATGGGGCGAGGAAAGTAAGAACAAACCCTTTTAATACTCAACAGCAAATTGAAGCTTAGAGGAAACAGACAACAACAAACACTGCACTTGCCTCACACCTCCCCCTTTGTTTTGTTGGGTCCTGGACTTATGAAAGACCATTCTTCACTCAGCTGCATAGTAATGGTTCTATGGCTTGGGAAACCAAAGGGCGATTCTGTATTCAGGACAATGTCTGATGATGAAGCACACACTAATCTCTCCCGAGAAGGCTCAGTCTCAGCATCAGTTAAAATGGGGGCAGAATAGAGAATTCTAGTAGCTACTCAGGGTACACTTGCTATTGTTCGGAAAAAGGAAAACCTAGATTACTAGGTTCTACTTCTTATTAGAATGAACATATGCTTTTGAGAGACGATAAAATAGAGGGGAAACTATGACCACTGGTGTCGACATGCTTTGTTGAAAATGACTGTATTTGGATGTGAGAACCTGTGGATTTAAGGGGAGGAAAACCATTTTACCAGCTGCTTGAGGGGTGGGAGATTTGGTCTTTCATTATAAACGTGAGGAAGGCTGAGTGTGGTGGTGCATGCATGTGCTAGGGAGGTCAAGGCACAAGGAATGTGAATTTGGAGCCAGCATGGGCTGGATGAATAGTGAGATCTTGGCTTTTCATGTTGCTGTGATAATTAATACCTTGACAAAAGCAACTTTCAGGAGACAGGGTCTATTCTCACTCATGGCTCATGGGTACAGCCCATCATGGCAGAGCAGTCAAGGTGGCCAGAGCTTGAAGCAGCTGTCACATCACATCCAGTCTAGAAGCAGTGAGGGAGGAACACCCCCTTCTCTACAGTTCAAGGTCCCAGGTGGGGAATAGTGCCACCCACCATAGGTGGGTTTCCCATCTCAATGCAATTAAGCTAATCCCCACAGCTGTGCCCAGAGGCTCCTGGACAACCTTGTTTTAAAAATAGGAAAGTTGGATGAGTGGCTTTGTTTTTGTTTTGTTTGTTTTTTTAATGGAGTCTTATGCATCTCAGGCTGACCTTGGACTTGCTGTGTTCCACTTCCCAGGTGTTAGGAGTATCACTATGAGCCGCTGTGGGCCACCATACCTTTTTTTATGGGGTGCTGGGAATTTAACCCTGAGCACTCTATTAACCGAGCAACATCCCTAGCTCTCTCATAGTTTTTATTGTTGCAGAAGACATATGTCTGGTAGTGTACTAAATCTTTTAAAACATGTATTATCTAAGATTTACAATATCTTAAGGATATTAAAATACATCCCCACTAACAAATAAGAAAGCTGAGACGGTGTCAGTTATCTGGGTTAGGTTGCTCTGTCATAACAAACAATACCAAATACCTTATTGTTTTAAGGTATTGCTGTCATCCCATTGTGAGCCCGCTTCAAGCTGTCCTCTCTGGAACACAGACCAATGCAGTTGCTATGGGATAAGAAAAGGAACCATGACAACTCCATCCTCATTCTTAAATATTATGCAAGCCTGACAAATTTCACTTCATTTTATCTTTCACTGGCCAAAGCAAATCAAATGTGCAGTCCAAATTTAATAGAGGTGTGGAATGAATGCAAGTCCTACTCTGTGCTTGGATGGTGACAAATAAGAGACGTGTCTGTGTATCCTCCAGTCATAAGGCTTAAAGAAATAAAAAAATCCTG